GTTGACCCGAAGTCCAACTTCCTTAGTCACGCTTAGAAAGGATGGGTTACTTCAAAAATAACAATGGGGAAGTTGACCCGAAGTCCAACTTCCTTAGTCACGCTTAGAAAGGATGGGTTACTTCAAAAATAACAATGGGGAAGTTGACCCGAAGTCCAACTTCCTTAGTCACGCTTAGAAAGGATGGGTTACTTCAAAAATAACAATGGGGAAGTTGACCCGAAGTCCAACTTCCTTAGTCACGCTTAGAAAGGATGGGTTACTTCAAAAATAACAATGGGGAAGTTGACCCGAAGTCCAACTTCCTTAGTCACGCTTAGAAAGGATGGGTTACTTCAAAAATAACAATGGGGAAGTTGACCCGAAGTCCAACTTCCTTAGTCACGCTTAGAAAGGATGGGTTACTTCAAAAATAACAATGGGGAAGTTGACCCGAAGTCCAACTTCCTTAGTCACGCTTAGAAAGGATGGGTTACTTCAAAAATAACAATGGGGAAGTTGACCCGAAGTCCAACTTCCTTAGTCACGCTTAGAAAGGATGGGTTACTTCAAAAATAACAATGGGGAAGTTGACCCGAAGTCCAACTTCCTTAGTCACGCTTAGAAAGGATGGGTTACTTCAAAAATAACAATGGGGAAGTTGACCCGAAGTCCAACTTCCTTAGTCACGCTTAGAAAGGATGGGTTACTTCAAAAATAACAATGGGGAAGTTGACCCGAAGTCCAACTTCCTTAGTCACGCTTAGAAAGGATGGGTTACTTCAAAAATAACAATGGGGAAGTTGACCCGAAGTCCAACTTCCTTAGTCACGCTTAGAAAGGATGGGTTACTTCAAAAATAACAATGGGGAAGTTGACCCGAAGTCCAACTTCCTTAGTCACGCTTAGAAAGGATGGGTTACTTCAAAAATAACAATGGGGAAGTTGACCCGAAGTCCAACTTCCTTAGTCACGCTTAGAAAGGATGGGTTACTTCAAAAATAACAATGGGGAAGTTGACCCGAAGTCCAACTTCCTTAGTCACGCTTAGAAAGGATGGGTTACTTCAAAAATAACAATGGGGAAGTTGACCCGAAGTCCAACTTCCTTAGTCACGCTTAGAAAGGATGGGTTACTTCAAAAATAACAATGGGGAAGTTGACCCGAAGTCCAACTTCCTTAGTCACGCTTAGAAAGGATGGGTTACTTCAAAAATAACAATGGGGAAGTTGCATTGACTATCTTATTACTACGGTTTATGTAATATTCTGTAAAAAAAAAAGGTGGATACAAGGTTCCCTATTTGAGTGTCACCCGGTTTAAAATCGTGGATTTCGAGGAACACACGAATTCATTAGACCAATCAGAAACGTGGAACTAGTTTGAGAGTCTCGTTCAGGTGGCGCGTCGAAACCAGAGTAAAATTGAGACCACCAAAAACCATAGATATAGAAAAGACATAGATGTACCATAAACTGATATTTTAGGCGAGGGGTGTGTGGCAAAATGAGGGGGGTGGGGATTTCGCTGCATAACCAATCAAATTCAAGCTGACCCCTCCCTTACTGTGCCTTAACATGATCGGTACTACTATTCCTTGCTTTACGTAGCACTTTTACATCACTGCGCTTGCTTCCAATAGTAATCAATCACAAGTAGGCACAGTCTACCTCGGCAGCCCTCCCTGGACGGCTTTCCCCCCGCAGGGTTTTGCTACATCTATGTCTTTTCTATATCTATGCCAAAAACAGGCCCTGTTCGGAATTCCCTAGTCCGCCAAGGAAGAAGATACCCGACGTGAATATCCCTAGTCGACCATACATTCTAGGGATTTTCTAATATCACTAGTCTGGGGTTTGGGCACGTTTTGAAACAATCGTATGGTAACCGTTTTGGAATAGTAGAAGTCGTACAAATTTTGTCATAAACATTTTTGAAATAAAACATCGCAATTCATTGATAAACTAAAGATTTTCGTAATATCATTCCCACGAGACCCAACATTAGTCCTTCGAGCCAGATAGTCGGCATTTCACGGGTTTGTGGGAATTTGCAGTAATATCGAGATTACAGCACAGCACAATGGCTAACACGCGGCAGAGCAAAACCGTTGAACAATTGATCGAACAACAGAATTTGTATTTCGACTCGTATCGTCGGGTGTGGAACAAATATCAAGGCAGTATTGCAACTAGGGCATCGGTTCGTTATGCACAAGGGAAAAAGGTGAGCTTGGAAAACCTTTGGTCTTTGTTTCAAGCTAATCATCGACAAATAATGGACAATCCAGAACCATCCTCTCCGGCTGTACATGGGTACATACAGGGTGGGTTGTATGAAGAATTGGAAGATCTTGTAGCTAATTCGTTGGCACAGATAGAAGATTTTATTAATCCTCTAGCAGTAGCAAAATCAGAGGCATCGTCAAAGGTTGACGACGAAAATGAATACAATGATAGTGGAGATGATATGCAGATTCAACGGCAAACTCAAACAAAGGTAAAGTTGCCAGAAATGAAGTTACCTCAGTTTAATGGTGAACTAAAACATTGGGTCGGATTCAAAGAATAATCGTTTACCTAGAACGGGATAAATGTCAATTGTTGAAAGCAAATCCCACCATGTCAATTATTTTTGCGAGAAGCCGACCGATTCCTGTAGGTGCTCGCCGCCCTCACGTTCCCCTCTACCATATCGGATTAGGAGCTAGCGGGAAGATCTGGAAGTGATGCGCCGCGGATTAAAAATTAAAGGCCCGCCGAGTCGGGCTGGTGCAAGGATGCACCTGGCGCCCAAGGGATCCGCGGAATGCCACGTTGGGGTCGCGGATAGAACATAGGCCAGGAAATGTGTTACACTATATGTGTACAGTAAAATGATCTGAACCCCACGTCTCGTCTTCTACTTTAACTTCAACTTTCTCAGTTGCAACTGTATTTGTAAATATTAAATCCGTACACAAGGGGATATGTGTGCATGTTGAGGTGGCCAACACTCGCTTTATCAGTGTGAGCAATTTCTTACGTTATCGCAAGCTGAACGGTTTAAAATAACTAAAGGAAACCATTTATGCATAAACTGCTTGGCAAGAGATCATGTTATGAATAACTGCAAGAGTAATAATGTCTGTCGAACATGTTCTAAGCGACATCATACTTTACTCCACAGGACAGAGGCACCAAAGTCGGAATCAGAGAACACAAATAACAAGCCTTCAGAAAGGAAGTTTGACGTCACGATTTCAAATCAAATCACCGACAATCATCCGCAAACTGTAGCCTGTCTAGTACAGGCATCACCAGTTAAAACTATTCTACTGGCTACGGCTCGTGTTACATTAGTAAACCCGATGGGGCAAATCTATGTCTGCAGGACTTTGCTGGATCAAGGTTCGCAGGCTTCCATTATATCAGAACGAGCAGCTCAACTGTTGCAGCTTCGGCGTGAGCGATCGTCAACAGAAATCGTGGGAATCGGAAATGCGCCACCCTCCAAGACAAGAGGAGTGGTTAGATTTGCCATGCAACTCAATTCGCCTACATAAGAGCCACTGAAAATAGAAGCTTATGTTTTGAAGAAGTTAACCAACTGGTTACCCACAGAAACAATTCCACTAGCCATATGCGACGGACTACAAGGAATACACTTGGCAGATCCAAACTTCGGCGTATGCAACTCAATTCGCCTACAGAAGAGCCACTGAAAATAGAAGCTTATGTTTTGAAGAAGTTAACTAACTGGTTACCAACAGAAACAATTCCATTAGCCATATGCGACGGATTACAAGGAATACACTTGGCAGATCCAAACTTCGGCGTACCAGGAAGAATTGATATCGTATTAGGAGCGGATGTATTTGGGAAATTATTGATGAACGGTGTACGTACTAATCTACCAGGAAGTTTGATAGCTCAACAGACAAAACTTGGATAGATCTTGTCCGGTTCTTTGGCAAGGCCGACATATTTAGACCTTCACAAGGCAACACGACAATTGTGTCAGCTAGCTGTATTACCCTCGACGATGTGGTACAGAGATTTTGGGAGCTGGAAAGCATTCCCGCGGAACCTGCTGAAACGGAAGAAGCTCGACATTGTGAAGAATATTAGGTTAGAACAACAAAGCGCTTGCAAGATGGACGTTATGAAGTTTCACTACCCTGGAAGTCTGACAAAGCGGAATTGGGCCTTGGAAGATCCATGGCGATCTACAGATACTTACAGTTGGCGAGACGTTTGGCCAAAGAGCCCATTCTGAGGCTTAAGTATCAGGACTGCTTAGAAGATTATTTGCAACAGGATCATCTAGAAAAGGTGGATTTGCAGGAGGTCTACGCAAATGACGCCTCATACTTACCTCATCATGGAATAACGAAACGGGACGATCCAAATGGTCGCGTTCGAGTAGTTTTTGACGCGTCTCAACGGACAGAAAGTGGATTATCCTTGAACGATGTGTTATACACTGGACCCGCATTGCAGAACGACATAAGACGGATTACTCATTACGACATTACTCGGTGGACAGTTCCTAAGATAGTATTCACGACGGACATAAATATGTATAGACAAATTAGCCTCGCTAAACTTGGTCGAGAGTATCAGAGAATTATCTGGAAGCATAAGGAAGCATCGGAAGTCCAGGATTGGAGACTTACTCGTGTAACATTGGTCTCCAAGGGTCACCAAAAATCAGCGCCTCTTTCCTCACTTCCCTCGATGTTCGACGTTGTTCCACCAGCTCTCACCAATCGGTTGCACCAAAGCGTTATACAGTACACCAAAGAAAGAAAAGAAAAGAAAGCAAGCAGTATGCAAATAAAACAAAGCAAAGAAACATTAAAGCGGACGATAGGCGGGTTACTTAATACTAAGGAATCTGTGTGCCGTAACCTAGGACTGACGTTTGGAGCGTTAAACAGTTAATTCCTAAATTCCTACTCTTGCGGGTCGTTTGTGGCGTGGATTATCAAAAATTCTTCACGTCACAGTATAGACAAATTAGCCTCGCTAAACCTGATCGAGAGTATCAGGGAATTATCTGGAAGCATAAGGAAGCATCGGAAGTCCAGGATTGGAGACTTACTCGTGTAACATTTGGAGTGTCCGCGGCGCCTTACTTGGCTTTGAGAACTTTACAGCAATTAGTCAAAGATGCAGGACATGAGTTTCCGTTAGCATCGTCCACACTACAAAAAGATACGTATGTAGATGACATAATGTCTGGAGCTGATGATATTGATGGTGCAAAGCTTCGCGTTAATGAGTTGAACTAATTACTAGAAAGCGGTAAATTCACACTTCACAAATGGGCAACGCATGAGCCAACTGTTCTTGAAACAATAGATAGTGCAAACAAAGAATCAGTACCAGCACATAGTATTGGTACATGTACCATTACTAAAACATTGGGATTGAGATGGGATGTAGTCTCAGATCACTTCTTTTATCGTTCTTCAATTTCCGACACAGAAATGGATTGTATCACGAAACGCAGCATTTTATCTGAAGTGTTTCAGATTTATGACCCCTTAGGATGGATCGCGCCCATTGTCACAATTGGAAAGATTCTATTACAAGAATTGTGGCTGCGCAACGTCGGATGGGATACACCACTTCTTGACGACATCGTTTTACGTTGGTCGAGGTTCCGTGAGGGACTCAGGAAATTAGAAACCATTCGTATACCGCGATGGTTCGAGACGCTGTCTAGCGAAGAAATTACTTTGGTGGGATTCTGTAGCGCGTCACAAGACGCTTACGGAGCTGTGGTTTATGTGCGTCAAGGACACTTGTATGATGATGGGCGAACCACACTAATAATCGCAAAATCAAAAATAGCTCCTCTAAAAGCGTCATCAATACCTCGGTTGGAATTATGCGCTGCGGTACTTCTCACCCGCCTATTGATCTACACAAAAGCCATGTTTGACGTTGCTACCGTGCACCGTGCTCCGGTCCCCCGCACTGCACTATGGCGCCACTCCCTCGTCTATGCGACCAGCTCTCCCCTCCCTCTGCGACACTGTGGTGGATCCCCCACCACGTAGCCCTGGTCCTAAGACCTAAAACCCCCAGCAGCAGCGTTGCATCTCCCCCAGGGGCCGTATCACGGTCGGTAATTATGCAGTGACCGCCGGTCGGTAATTTTTAATTACTCTAAGGAGGTAAGTGTCCCATGGTGAAGTAGAACACGGTGTTTTTGTAAGAAACGCTGTATATATTATAAAGCTGTCTAGTGTGATACATTTCCGATGATTAGCCTGAGCCCTGTATAGAGGAATACGCTTAATGTTTTATTTCCTACCGCCCGTTACCATTATTGACAAGATATGGGGAGATGGAGGTGAAGGAAACAAAAAAAAGGAAAAATAGGTATTTTCAAATATATGTCGTATATTTTAAGAAAAGATCAGTTGTACAATTTTTTATTAAGAGGTCTGTGTTCGATCAAGGAAAATGGGTTTTAAAAATTTATTATAAAAAATGAAAAAAATAAATTACAAAATAAAAATTAAAAATTTAATGAAACAATTAAAAAATACAATTAAAAAATAAAAAAAAGTTGACTCGAGCCCTGAAAAAAAAAAGATAACCATGTATGATATATATAGTATAAAATAGAATAGTTTAATACACACCAATTTGAAAGCTGCCTAAATTTCGACAGGAGTTACTCCCCGCAGGAGTTACTCTTTTTCTCTTTTGGCGAGCGAGGCAGAGGTGTATGAAAGAGCGAGAA